ACCTTCTGATGAAAATAAAGACGTCATTCAAACCCAGAAACCACAGAAATGCATTTTCCCCTCGTGCATTCTTCTTTAATGTGAGCTCATTTTTACTGTCAGGCTCCACTACAGTGGCTTTGCATGATTCCCGCTTCAGAATAATCTGCATTTATATCGTACTGGGCCAACTGTGGGCTAAAACCCGGGAGAAGGCTGTCCGTTTTCTACAGTTTTGGCCTCATCGTTACAACTTTAAACCAAAACACATCAAATAAATGAAAGAAGCAGGTCTCGTTGTACTGGAACCTTTACAGCACAGTACTGACGAGGTCCCTGATCCACATCTGGATTCCTGTCAGGCTTCTCCTCAGCGTTCAGTCACTGAGCTGCTTCAACATTGCAGATTTTATGAGATAAAAGGTTTAAATCAGACCCTGAGATTAGATCATATCTATGTAAAAACAGAGCAAAATATCTTTTCAGTCTTTGCTTTCTTCAGGAAGTTGGTTTGTCTGCTCCCATGTGGAAGTCATTTACTTCCTGATTCCTACACAGTTCATGTTTAGAGTATGGAGGCCTTTCCCTCAGTTTCTTTTGACAGCACTGATATGATCCCAGAGTCGCCTGAGGAAGAAAAACCAGTAAAACCTGTGTTTAATAACTGCACGTTAAAAAGTGCAGTTAGATCACACGTGCCTGCCTAAAGTAGAAGAACTAATATATTTGTATGAAGTCATATCAAGTGAAAGGTTGGATTCAAGCGCGCCAACTTAACTGTGATCAAACAGTTTGTGAATATTTTAAAAGAATAAATCCTGAAACTACGTTTAAACGTTTGTGTTTGCAGCTTGACTGCAGCTGAAATCACTTCCAGGTGTGACGTAATCACGTGAAGCAGCTGCTTTGTGTTTGTTCCTGTTTGGATTGACAGCGTTTTCCTCATAATTTTCCAAAACTTAAATTCGGTTTAGCTGGAAACAAATCAAAGATACTTAAAAATAAAAAAATTAATTAAATTAGTATTTAAATAGCAGCTTTCAAGACAGAATCACAAAGTGCTGCACATGTAGCAGTCAACAAAGTCCACAGAGTTCAGCATTTTTGTGGTTTGACTCTGGGAAAAGCAGCTGATTGGCTCACTGAGGAGCAGATGTGATTCCCTGAAGGTGCTTTTTCACTTCCTGTTTGAAAGAAAAGGCACATCTGGGCGTGTTGCAGCTGTTCAGTCAGAAACGTGCAGACAGTAATTCACCGTGAGTCGAACCCTGTAGCATTACAACCCTGACAAATTACAGCACAGGAAGCAAAATCCTTAAAAGCAAAG